TCCTGGCCCCACACACCAAACCATCAGTAAAAGGGTGCTCAGCCCACGGCCATGGGGTGCTGGAGCTGTGGGGATGCAGCTCCGGTGCGGTCATGCCTGGCACAGCCCCCATGCCCACAGCCCCATCCCTGCAGGGACCCATGGCCGCGGGAGCTCACCGGTAGCAGTTGTTGTGGAAGTGGTTGTAACTGGCCAGAGCAAGGAGGACACCGAATCCAGGGCCCAGGGAGAAGAAAATCTGCGCGGCAGCATCAACCCAAACCTGGCAGGAGAAGCAACAGCCAGGCTGGAGAATGGGCAGGGGGTCGCCAGCATGCTCACCCCCCTGGCGTGCCCACCCCACAGCACAGGGATCGGGGTCCTTGTTGGGGCAGGCTGCCAAACCTCCTCTCTTGCCTGCCCCGTCCCATGAGATGTCTTGGGAACAGGGGAGCTGCCACGGGACAGCGGGAGCTCATTCCCACCCTGGGTCCTGCAGCAGCAGAATGAAGCAACAGCATCTCTGCTTCCCCGTGCCTGGAGCAGGGACGAAGTCAAGGGAAGCCCCGAGACCCCCGTGCCTGCTCCTGCCCGGGCAGGTTCAGCGCTGGCAGCATGGCCCTGATTACTTTTAATGAGAATTCTCAAGTGCTGCCTGGTAATTACCCACGGGAAGCCTATTGTCAGGCTGGGGCGAGAACGCGGCACAAACAAAACCCAGCGGCGATGAGATGGGTGATTCAATTATGGATTTACATTTCCAAGAGCCTGTCCAGGGCTTCTCGTTTCTGTAGAAACAAGGGCCACATCGCAGCAGCCAGACCCGTGGGCGGGGAGGGGTGTCCATCGCGGAGAGGGGGTCTGAGTGCTGCCATCCCTGGGGCGAGGGGCACAGGCTCCCGCCGCGCCCTCACCGCCGTGCTCAGGAGCTTGCCCCAGTCCGGGCGCAGGTAAAAGACGATCCCTTTCCAGGCGCCGGGTAGGGTGGCCCCTCGGACCAGCAGGATGAGGAGGACGACGTAGGGCAGTGTGGCCGTCACCCAAACCACCTGGGGAGAGGCACCAGCAGAGCTGCTCCACCGAGCACCCCAACGGTCCGTGTTGGGCATGGCCGGCTCGCTCGTGGCTG